CTACTAAAAGTAAGGGTAAATACACTTGATTTAGGACATTTTCTTACTTTTTTCTAGATATGTTTTGCAGTGCAGGTTTAGGAAAGTCACGCATACAGGGTAACCTAATGTTACAGCTATAAATACGTAGGAAGGAAACACATGCCTACCTGCGCAGGGCTGCTCTTGGTGTGAGATCCTCGGACATTTCTGCTTATGGATCGGACGCGTTTCCTACAGTGGAAAGCAGCTGAAAGCAGAAATGCGCAGCTCTGCTGCTATTATAACAGGATGACGTCGGCTGCGCTGATAGGATCAGTCCTCATTCTGAGTCTGCGCAAATGCCACCGGCCTGTTCGGTACAGGTTCAAGTGCTGAAGAAAAAACACAAACAAGTAGAAAAAAAAGCTCTAAAAAAAACACAGATTAAAAAAGGAAAGAAAAGCTTGTAATTTAGACTCCACTCCCTTCTGTCGCAGTTTTCCTCCTTACCTTTAGTACATAGAAATGAGCCATCACCAATTATTATGGGCGATTTCATACTGCTTTGACCAACAATTATTTTTATTTCTTCAATTTAAACATTTTCAACGTTAATGTTAGTTGATGAATAATAATAAAACAGGAGTTGGTGTTTTAAGGTGATCAGAGGCCATCATGAATTTGCAACCAGCAAAAAATAACCCATCTACCTCTCCATTAAAAGATTAAATCACTTTTTCTGTTTTTTTTTTTTTCTTTTCTAACAAAGCACATACAATGTTTGAAACAGTAATTCTCTATGTAGGTAACATGTATATAAAATTTAACGGATTATAAAGTGTGGGGAGGAAAAGGGGTATGTAAAAGGAATGAAAACTCGCCCATTTTTATAAATCTATATTTTCTATATAGCTTTATTGTAAAAATCGATCGTGCAATCTGATCTTTCAAAAAATCTGAAGGAGAAGTATGGGACAAAGATTTTTATTTTCATTTAAAGCATTTTATCACATGCACTGTGTCCTATGCTATTTTTTATGCATTAATATATTTTATTTTTTTAACTTCATACACATCACTTCGTGCATGCATGCGATTAAATTCATTTCGAAACTATTTTGGATAAAAAAAAGAAATGCAAAGAAGATCAAATGTAAATCTATGGGAATCCCGCACCTTTTTCTTTTACTTTCGCTTGTTATGTCACGCCCAATGTTTCTTCTAATAAGAACACGGGTCTAAAACCACATCAGATCACAGACCTACAGCTCAGACGAAGAACCATCATGTGCAAAACAGATCTGCTCGTCCTTTGCTCCAACCTTGGAGAGGTCAGCTATGTGAACACCAAGGGCCCTCTGGGGAAGATGACTGTTCTGGAGCTGAAGAAATATGCGGTGGACACCTTTCCTAAATCAGGTAGGCCTAAAAAGCTATTAAGATTTTATACATGTTGTCATGAAGGGACTTTTAGGTGCAGTTTGAAATCAATAAATCAAAATAAAATAGGATAGATTATACGGACTGCTTACATAATACTTTTTTGATAATATAGTTATTTTTATTATAACCATAGGCAGTTCTCTGCACAAACAACAACAAAATATAATGACAGCAGTCTATGGAGGGTGCCCTCGTTTTTTTTAAATTCATACTTGGTTTTTGTTGTTGTTGCTGTTTGTTTGTTTTTGATTGTTTGTTTGTTTGTTTTTTATTGTGCAGGACCAACCCTGGATGACATCAAGCTGGTTGTCGGGGACAAGCCTCTGGATGATGACTCTGCTTCCCTCTCTGACTACAACATCAAACCCAACACTAAGGTTCAAATGGTCAGGAAGGTGAGCGGAGGCTAAGAGGCAGCAAGAGACAGAGAGACCTGAAGTCTGTCATTGGGATGCAGCAAAGGAATGGACTGATGGGGAGGTTGGGAACATTTACGCAACAAGAGAGACGATTATTGCTTTCAGCTCTACACTTGATGACTTCTAATGTTTTTGAAGCAATTTTCATTTAAGATACCACTTTGCCAGTTTCCTGTTTTGTTTAAATTAGGAAGTTTTCTTTATGATTTTGGTTATTGCCGTTAGTGTATGAAGTTGTTTTGTTAATAATAACCACGTGATTCTTCAACATCATTGAAATAATTTTAAATATATTCATAAACTGTACATATTAAATAAATAACTTCTGTAGCAAGATCTAAATTAATCTGGAAAAATAAATTAATTTTTATTTTTATATTTCTGTGTGTTTGTGTTTTGTTTTATTCACTTATTCAGTCATTTAATTCTGTCATAGTGGTGCTGGAGGTTTGACAGGACCCAAATGCAGACTGAAGCTGAAGGAGTTTCCTTGAAGTTTAATTACCCAAAGTTTAACAGAAGCAAAAATCTCAAAAATATAAATCCATAAAAAATTCAAAAACGCTCAAAACCAAGAATACTCACAACAAAAAGGGGACAAAGTAATGACGACAAACCAGCAAAGAGTGACTGAGCAGGAGGAGAGACAAACAAAGACCAGGATAATTAGTAGAATGGGAGCAGGTGTGAACAGAGGCAAGAAGGGAGCTAGGGAAAAGGAGACTGATATAAGAGGGCAAACAGAAAATATCTAAGAACTCAAATACGAATCAAAAAGACCAATGAAAACTTAGAGATAAAACTTGAACAAAACCAAAACTATGACCAATTGTATATTTCAATATTTCCTTTAACCGTACGTAACTATCTTTCTCATTTATTTACTTGTTAATTAGCAATTAGTTAAGATTGAAGAAGAATCCAATAATAATGCAATTAATAATCCAAACATCTTTAAAATCTTAGAATTTTGCAAACAGCATATTTCATAAACATAGCCTTAACAAAAACTAAAATGTTGAGAGGTAACTGCAGCTACAAAATAATAGTGAAACTTGGAGTTGGATTTTTGTTCAAACATAAACTTCTTCTAGAAGTGATCTGGGCAAGTAATAAAATATAGAAATGTGGAAAGTTGATGATAAAAGCTTACAGGTGGCCATGGGGCCAGTATCTGTGTCTTAGAATTATGGAAAGTATTTTATAATTTTTAAAAATACATTATGTCGCTTTTATTATTATTTTCTTCAGTATTTATTTTTTCCTGCAGATTATGGTGCCGTTTAGGAAAAAATTATTCCAAAAATAAATAAATGAAAACATGAGTATGCTGGGAAAAAGAAAGATACAGGAAATAATCTGAAAATAAGACATTTGGAAATACTTTAAACAGAAAGCAGCTCAACTATAGCACTGGACGTCCTCCAGAGAAATTTAACTGCACTTGACTTCTAGGGAAATTCCCACTCTTATGAAAGCGGGGAATAACATGCAAAGGTTTTCGTTTTTTAAGAGAAAACACAATGTATGTATGTATGAACTTTGGAAAACATTGGTGTTTATTAGGTATGTGCATTATTTTGTACACATTAAAAGCAAGAAAATAAATTTAGCGCATTTCCACATTTTACAAAAAGACTTGACAAATTCTGGTTTAGAAAAATTATACTGCTAATTTTCCTTCCAATATTCCTGCAGTAAATCTAGTTGGTTTATGACATAAAATAGCATATTTGAATGGTGTGGTTCACAGGGTTTTAATACTTTTGCAGTGAAGTGAAAATCCAGTATGCTGTCCATGGTCCTGAACAAGCTACATTATACATTTTTGTAAATACACTGAAGTTGGTTTTGCTTGTTTCTAATGTTCTCATATTTCTGGATAGAAATATTATCTCTTTCTATCTATGAACTTGTGCTCAGTTGTTCTTTCAGGAAAAGGTGAATGTAATGTCACAAAAATGAAGAACTCAGAAGAAATTTTAACTCTTTCTCCACACTGGGATAACTGTCTGTCTGGGAGCAACACCACTGGAGCACGGTGCTGAAATGCCGCTTGTTCTTGAACATTCAGCAAATGTCTTCAGGCACACAAAACAGAACTTGACCTTACACTGAGGACAAGTAAGGTGTTTGCAGTGGTTTCGTTTATGCTCCAGCAGTGATCCGCAGGTGGGACAGACCCGGATGGAAGGACACCCTGTGATTCCTTTCACCTTGTCGAAGACGATATCTGGGCAGGTTTGCAGAGTTTGCAGCAACGTGTTGCTGCAGCCTTCATTCCCACAGCGGCTTATCCGTGGTTTTGGTCCTTTCCATTCCCTCAGACACTGCCAGCAGAATTCATATGGACGTCCTTCCTTTGCTGTGCACACTTTGCAGCCGATACAAAGATTAAATTCATTTTGTCTTGCCACAGAGGACATACATCCAGGACACTGTTTGGAAGCAGATAAAGATTTAGAATAAATTACCAATAAAATGTTTTAAATAAACTTAAAGGATAAAATCCATACTTTTCTGGTAACAGCAGCATTGAGGCTCCTCATTTTTTTGAAGTATTTCCGTTCTTCAGGAGAAAGAAGAGCCATTTTCTGAACTTCCTCATAGTGCCACCTAGCATTACACACGCCACACACAAACCTGCTTTGTCCCTTTAAAACAATACAAAAACATTGATGGGTCATCACACTAGAAGCTGACCTCAGTTAATAGTTAACTACATGACATACATCCTTCCATCTACTGTATACAGGCCTATGAATCCCAGTATGGATCATATTCTGAAAGGACTTGTTGACTAAAGTATCAGTTTTATGTAAACATGGGTGCAGATGGTGCTTCCACCATAGGTCTAACATCTCTTGTGCAAAATAAAGATAAAGAAAATTCTGTATCTTTTGCTATTGTTGGAGTATCTAACATCTAAAGATGATTAAGAATGAATGCTGAGATTTTTATGCCTCAAGGAGCCTCTGACCATTACACAGGATTTAAATGATTATTTTGCTAACTTTATGATAAAGACTAATGGTAACTCAGAATTTAGTATAGACTACCTCACTTTTCCTTCCACTTAACTTTCCATTAACTTGCTGATATAAGATTGTGTATATACAGTTGTGCTTGAAAGTTTACATACAGTACCCTTCCATTAAAGACAAAATAAATCAGCTGCCTGTTAAATACATTGAAATAGTCAAAAATAAAGATAAATAAAAATGATAAAAAATGGAAATCATGATACAGATTTTGGCTGCTCAGTGGCGCAATGGATAGCACTGCTGCCTTGCAGCAAGGAGGCCCAGGGTCTTTCTGCATGGAGTTTGCATCTTCTTCTTGAGCATGCGTGGGTTTTCTCCGGGTGCTCATGCTGTTTATATATAAACAGCATTGTCATGCTGTTTATGTATAAACAGCATTGTCAAGCTGTTTATATATAACATTGGGAACATATTCCTTATAATTAATATTTACCTCTTCCAGTTGCTTCAGACACCATTTTGTGAGAGATGTTGGTGTCACAGCGTGACCACAGGACATCTGCGCTCTTAGTGATGAGAAGCCTTCACACAAAACTAGGAAATAAAGAAACTGTAACTAAAAGGATGCCCTTCAAGATGTTTTTTCCGCCTAAAGTCCACAGATAACTAGCATTGGGAGTTCTAGACAGGGGCCAACAGGGGCCAGGGGTCCTGTAGAACATGTGATTTTCATTTTCTTGGGGGAACAGAAAAAACAAATAACAATAAAAAAATGTTTAAAAAAAACTTAATGAACACTTTATGTTCTCTACTGAGAACATAAAGTGCAAAAATGAAATCTAAGTAAGTAAAATTTTTTTATTAGATGTATTTTCTTTTGCTTAGAGCAGGACAGGATAATTTGTCAATGGAAAACAATGATTTACAGTTAAAATAAATAAACAAACAGCTCATTTAACTAATTTCAAGTGCATTATATTTTATTATCTTTTTATATTAGAAAAAACCCACCTGTTGCTAGATTATCCTGCTCGAATGAAGGGCGAATACGCTCTTTTTTAAGAACATTTTTATATATTTCTATCCATTTTTTCGCAGTGTAATACTAAATCAATGTTCCATGATGACATGAGCTTATAAAAAATACTGTAATTGATTTGTCCCTTGGACCAATTCGATATTTCAATTCAATTTAACAATTAATTGAAAAATAAGTCAGCTCCTGCTGCATTAAAATCGGATCACTGTTTTCATCTGTTGGATCAGAAATCTGTAGACTTGGCTTTGTGGCTCAGCTAAAATAAAAGTGTTCTTTTTTTTATTATTCCTTTTTTATTGTTATTGTTTGTTTCTGTGCGCCCAAGAAAACGAAAAATAACACTGCCCCCCTGGTAAATTTGGTTTAGAAGCTCTTCTGTAATCAATCTGTTCTCACCAGCAGCAGCCTACTTACAGTCCAGCTCATCCTCCCCATCCACAAATTTCAGCGAGGTGTCTTTGGGATCGTAACATTTCTCCGGGCTGGTAGATGTAGCTGATCCCATCTTCTTTCGCTGCAAAAATCTAAAGTAAAATAAATAAAAAAAAGTTGAAGCAAAATCTTTCGACTTTGATCTTTTCGAGTTTGAGTGAGCGCTTTACATGCTCTATCAAAGCGAAACTACAGTAACGCATTTACGCACTCTGCACTTTAGAACATGGGTCTGTTTTAAAGTCAACTAAATGCCAGCCTGGCAAAATAAATACATAAATGCGGAACACTGAAATGTCTCACAGCCGTTTTGAATAAACACATGTTTTACCTGTCCAGCACAGCGAATGGTGAAGCATCGATGGACATTTCTCCTTCTAGACGCGCTGCGTTCAAAGACACAGATCAGAGGACAGATCTGATCAGCAGGGCTCCACTGAGTCTGCGCAAAGCACTGTCTCTAGTACCGTCTTTTTTACATTTTATTCGTTAGGCATATATATTTGAGTTTTTTTTTTTAACTTAAGATATAAATAGTGAAGCCTGTTTCTGCAACATGAAGAAAAAATGCCAAATAGAAAGATATAATTTTAAGGTACAAAGTCATCATTTCGACTTTAAAAGTCATAATTATGAGATATTAAGTCAAAAAATATGAGATATAAAGTTTTATTTTCGACTTTAAAGTCATAATTATGAGATATTAAGTCATAAATATCAGATACATAGTCATAATTCCGACTTTCCAAAACATAATTATTAAGTAACTAAGCAATAATTAGGAGATGCAAAGTGTTAATTATGAGTTACAAAGTCATAAATATTGGATATAAAGTCATAGTTACGACTTTCAAAGACATAAATATGAGATATTAAGTCTTAATTTCGACTTTAAAAGTCATAATTATGAGATATTAAGTAATAAATATAAGATATAAACTCTTACTTTCGACTTGAAAAGTCATAATTATGTTACTAAGTCATAATTAGGAGATGCAAAGTCTTAATTATGAGTTACAAAGTCATAAATATTAGATATAAAGTCTTAATTTCAACTTTCAAAGGCATTATTATCAGATAAATAAGTCCGAATTTTGAGATATTTAACTTTCAAACTTTGTATTTCAATTATGACTTTGTAACTCATAATTTTGACTTTTTATCACATATTTATGACTTTCTAGACATTTTCTTTTTAAATATTAATGTTTTTGGAAACGGGCTTTATAGATAAAGGTGCAACAACTTATATTTATTGGAAATAAAACACAATAGCACTTTTTCGCTGTGTCCCCTCCAAAAGAGAAAATTTTTGGGACATACTGGCCTATTTAAAATAAAACATTCATTATGTAGACACTTGCATGCAACATTTCTCTATGCCTGACTGTTTCAAATAAACTGCTAAACTGCAGCTGAAAATGAAAGTGAAAGTAGCCAATGGGGAGGAATTTCCCTGGCTCTCCTCTGAGTTTGGATGCAATCAAATTAAGAGAAATTCAAATACAGCCGCCCTCATGCAGCCAGAAATGTTACTGGAAAAAAAAAAAAAAAACGATACTCAAATAAAAGCAGAGGTTAGAGACCGTAAAAATAAGACAGGAAGGTAGTGAAGGTGTTTTCTTTTTGGATCAGGGGAAATCCACGCTGCAGAGATTTATTTTTCAGTTAAACAGTATAAATTACTTATTATTAATCTTAAAAGAAATCCATCCAAGTTTGTAGAAGTCTGTTTAACCTTTTCTTCTCATCCATTTCTCTTCATATATTTTTACCATGTTTTCGATGCAACATTATAGAATCGTTGAGATGTGTTGGTTTTACCTTTACAATCTATCTTTAGTTGACCAGTGGAGACAGCAAGCCTATGTTTCTTTTCTGGCCAGTAAATGCTAATAAAAAGTAAAATATAACAATAAAAGAACAAATAACTGAACAAACAATCAAATGGAGTTCCTTGTTTAGTTTTTTTTCTGGTAATCTTTTTCATTTCAAATTTCTGACCAACTTTAAAAGCATATTTGAACTAGAAAAGCATTCGGAGAGCTCAGACCTCTACCAAGCAGCAAATTTTGCCCCATTTACACAAAGCAAAAAAGTTATCTGGTTCATTAGCACATTTTAATGAATTGTTCTTGGCATGAGATGCATATTTGGTAAAAAATTTCCTTACAATACTTTCATAAGTTTATCAATAAGTAACATAGTCTGTCTGCAGCCTCTGGTGTTTGTTCTGCTCCCCGTCTTCTTTCACTCTCCACTCTGCTTTCTTGTCTGATCAGCAGAGACTTCAAGAGAGGCTTTAAGAGAGGGCTTGGCATGTTTTTGATTTCAGTATAATACTTCTGTTGCTTTTTGAGTCTGATGCTGAAGCTGTCAAAATAGTCAGTGCTGCCACCCTCTGGGGTTGGCTGCTTGCTCTGCAAAATAATGTTAATGAATTCTTTAAAAAAATCCTGCATCCAGATTATGATGCAAATTGTCACCAAAATATTATTTCATTAAGACCGACAGAAAGACAAACATAACAAATGTACAAACATATGTTTACCGTGCAGAGCACAGATATATTTTTTTTGGTGTTTGTCTTTTGGCAGCTTGAATGTCTGTAAAAAGTGTGTTTAAAATATGTTTTTTCAGTAAATGTCTGCATTTAAACTTTAGTGCAAATACAGTGCAGGACATTTGCTGGTCTTCTTAGATTGTGTAGGTGTGATCCCATATAAGAATAAACACAATAAAGTGTATAATTATTTTTTATTATCATACATAAAAAGAAACATGGAATAATTAGTTTTTCACCCATGTCTTATGCATTCTGTATTGCCTTACATTTGATGTAATTGTTTATAGAACCAATACATAAGTCAGATGCTTTTTTTTTGCGTTGAAGCCACACACAGAATTGTCACATATCGAAATAATATGTTTGTTTTCTTTAAAATGTACCAGCAGCTTTGAGTATTTTATAATTGAAACCTTAATGTCTGTAAATATAGGTTCACCAAGAACGGACAGACAGACATGAGCTTATCCAGTGTGGTGGGTGTCTATAACATCTTCAGAATGTGTCAAAAATTTTCATTAATTTAAATAATCTCGCATTTCCTACGTAGTTATTTTGGTGAATTGTCCCTTTACGCGTTCCGTAGGCTTGTCTCCTCCCTCCCAACATGGCTGCCATCAGGAGTGGGGTGACTCCGAGCTGCTTAGCAAGATGTTTCCTGAGTCAGACTGGGAAACCGAGCCGGAGCAGCTGTGTTCTTCCAGTTATTCAGAAGCAGGTTTGTTCCTGCTAGAGCTCCGCTGGTGTAGCTTTGCTTCTACTTCTAAAACAGAGACTTAGAAAGCAGCTTTCAGGGGCTAGCATGCTAGCCGGTTAGCATCACTGCGTTATGAGTGTGACTTTGACAGAGTCCGAAGAGAAGACATCTATATAATTTCGTTAAAATTAAAAATCGTTGGTTTCCTCACATATGGAACTGTTGCAGTTTGATCGATTGTTCTACTAAAGTTCATATTTATGACGATTATTTGGTGTTTAGCTTACTTTAGCTAACCGGCGCTTTAGAGATACACTTGTTTGGATATGTAAAAGTTCTGTTTGAGTTCTTTTGGATTTAAACATGTTTAAATGATTAAGGTGGTTTTAATCTAAATGGGTTTAATAATTCCTTCAGGGTTAAATGATCTTTAGATAACTCCCCAGCGTGTTCATGTTAAAACCTCAGCTCCAACACTGATGTCTGATTTACTTTCTGGTCTAAACATATTAACAACCTTATGAAAAGTTTAATTCCCAGCTGTAATGACTTTCTCAAAATAGAATAAGTTATTTTAATGATGATCTATGATTTACGTGGGAAATCTGATCTGTATAACATGGTTATTCTACTTCTGTTTTTCTTGAAAATAATGTGTAGCTTCCAGCAGAAGGTCATAAGAATCACCATTTTATTATTTTAAATCTTCTCAGAGTAGTAAGTCTTCTTACAGAAGAAGCTGCCAGCATAAATCAGTTAAATATGTTTAGATCTTGAATAAGGAGCAGTGGGTAACACTGCTGCCTTGCAGCAAGAAGGTTCTGGGTTCGATTCCCGGCCTGGGGTCTTTCTGCATGGAGTTTGCATGTTCTCCCTGTGCATGTGGGGGTTCTCTCCGGGTACTCCGGCTTCCTCCCAGTCCAAAAACATGACTATTAGGCTAATTGGCTTCTCTACAGTCCCCTTAGGTGTGAATGTGTGCACAAATGGTTGTATGTCCTGTTTGTCTCTTGTTGCCCTGCCATCTGTTGCCCTCTCTTGTGTTGCCCTGTGATGGACTGGCGACCTGTCCAGGGTGTACCCCGCCTCTCGCCCATTGACAGCTGGAGATAGGCACCAGCAACCCTCGCGACCCAAATTGGGACAAGCGTGTCAGATAATGGATGGATGGATCTTTAATAAATTGTTGCAGATTTAATGTTTATCATAGCTTAGTAACGCCATGGTTATTTACTATTCATTTGAGTTTCTTATTTTTTTTTCTTAACAGCTGTTGCTTCAGAGCTCCAGCCTGCACACGCTGTTTAGCTGTAGCAGGTCTCAGATCAGCTTCAAGCAGCGTGGAAAGTTCGTCTGGGTCAGCGCAGTCACCGCAAGACACAACAGCTCACAGGTATACTAACACACATTAATGAAAATTATGGAAAAGCATGATACAGTGAGTTAAAATCTTTGCCATCCACCCAAACAGTAATTCACAGTATTACATTTATTTGATCTTCAATATGGGGAAATATTCTGGGGAAACATCAAGTCATTTCTCAAGATGCACCAAATTGTTTTCAGGTCACTAATATGAGGAAATCATCTGAATCATAGTGCATGTGATGAAGCAGGGACAATTAATTCTGAGGAGGAGATAGTATTTTGATTTTATTTACCTTTTTAGAGCTTATAAACATTATATTGTGGGGTAAAAGTCATAAATGTATCAGAAAAGCGTTTAATTCTAAGCCATTAAAACACATGCTAATAAAACATATCTCTGCTTTGATCTTATTAATAGCTCTAATATATTGAAGGATGCACTTAACACCTGATATAACTTAGCTGTAAGATCTGAAGACCTCCCAATGCTACCACCTTTTTAAATATATGTAAAAAAAAAAAAAAAAAAAATAACACTAAAGTCTGTTTTTTGCAGTAAAATTATCTTAAACTGCCTGATTAAGAAATAGCCAAAATCTTTTTCAGTTGTAAATTTGGTTGTCTTTAGACTTTACGTTTTTAAAGCTTTGTAGAGATTACTTCCTTTTTCCCAGTGCATGTAAGTTAGGACTGAAAACAAACCCATTTTACCTAAGCCACACTTTAAAATGTCACGTTTAACTGAGATAGAAGTGCGTTTATCTATATAAGTCAGGAAGTAGCTGCAAAAGAAATGAATACTCAAAGTTGCTGATGTCTACATTCGGAGCAACAGTTAATTTCCAAATAGCTGCACACTTGGAGCGGCTGGCATTGGTAGTCATCAGATTTCCATAACAACCATTTATTTTAAAACATTTGATGCCACAAAGAGTCCATTTTTAAGCTGATATTATATTTTAAAAAATCCTATAATTTGCATGTAGATCTCATTCCAGATACATAAATTAACTTTGATGAACAAGAAAGTTTACATTGCTGCTGCACATTATATCCTCAAAAGATGCTCTTAACTGAAGCTTTAAAGATGTAGATCAAACCCTGCAGAATAAATCTGTTGTATTTAGTGTTGTGTTAATAAGTATAGATGCATGGAGTTTGCATGTTCTTCCAGTGCAGGTGCGAGTTCTCTCTGGGTACTCCAGCTTCTTCTCAGTCCATAAACATGACTGTTAGTTTAATTGGCTTCTAGAAGTTGTCCTTAGGTGTGAGTGTGTGTGCATGGTTGTATTTCTCTGTATGTGTGTTGCAATGTGATAGACTGGCGACCTGTTCAGGGTGTACCCCGTCTCTCGCTCATAGACTGCTCATAGACTTTTTTTTTTTATATATATATTGGAATGAGTCCCTTTAGATTCAGTTGATAATTTGATATTTTTCTTTTTCTCATGTTTCATGCAGATCCCACCTGGTGATGGATCGATACCACCTTCTGTCCCGGAGTCTTCCTCAGCATCTCTGGCTGCTGACTCTGTCCCTGTCCTCACACAGTCAGTCTCCCAGCAGGTCAGTAAAGAGATGAGATGCAGTCCATTAAAAAGTTTTTCTTTTGTTTTCCATCCTAACACTGTATAACTGATACCATCAGATCCCAGCTGAAAGCGTCTCGGCGGCGGCTCCTCTGTCCATAAACTCCTCAGCTCTTCCAACACAGCCGGTCATCGAGCAGGTGGGTGATGTGGCCCCGGTTGCAGCAGACGTCCTGCAGGCTGTGGCTGCAGAGCCCAGACTGGTAGAATTGGGACTAGGAAGCTACACTCCAGTGGGTGTGATCCAGAACATTTTGGAGTTCTTTCACATGGATCTGGGCCTACCCTGGTGGGGGGCTATAGTCGTAGGTGAGCAAAAACTTTCAGTAATGTAGCCTTTTATGTGAGCTGTCTCTGTTTTTAGGATATCTGTTTATTTTCTTAACTTGTAACCAGATAGGCTGATCTGTGGTTGATATTTATGTTTATTTGTTGTTGTTGACTCTAGGGACGGTTCTGGCCCGTTTGGCAGTGTTCCCCGTCATAGTGAAGGGTCAGAGAGAGGCAGCCAAACTGAACAACGTCCTGCCCGAGATGACCAAACTCACCAACAGGATGAACGAGGCCAAGCAGAGCGGGAATAAATATGAATGTATGTTTGGTCCTCACCCTCTGTTGTGTTTTTCACCTCTCTGTTCTTAAGTCGTCTCACTCATTCAGATCTGATTGTTAATCTTTGCAGTTGCCAAAGCCTACTCTGATCTGAACCTGTTCCAGAAGAAACATGATGTAAATCCCCTAAGAGGTTTCCTGGTTCCTTTGGTCCAGGTCAGTTTGCCTTTTAATGTGGAGGCGTTTCACAACCTCCAAATTTTTTGTGTGGGGAGATATTGTTTTAGATTTAAGCAACTGGTGGGGTCTAACTTGGTGATTCAAGGACGATGGAAAAATTGGCACACTGGATCACCTTCTTCCAAAAACATTCCCTGAGCATTAGAATTGAGGTATGAAATCCTATTTTTAATACACTATGAAGACATGGATGAATTCAAATCAGTTAATAAATGCTGAAATTCAATTATTTTATTGTTTAATTTTAACCTAATTTAAATATTAAATTGTGGTTTAAATATTTCACAATAAATCTCCTACTAGGTAGGTCACCTCATTGATATTTAAGATGCTTTATTAAGGGGATAGATGAGGCGTCATGAAGGGTTTCCATTGCTGTATTGATGCTGTTTCAGTGAATACTGACACCTACTGGACCTTTAAAATCACTGCAGGCGGCCTATTTGACACTGATTGGATGACCTAGTGTATAAAATGATAAGCCCATATATGTTGTATTGCATTATTTCATATATTCTTTTGAATTAAAGTTATCTCAAGTATTTTCAGATACAGTGGATAAGTAATGTAAACATGTATCATAATTTGAACAGTTGAATGAGGATGTTTGTGGACTAGGATGTTTCCTTTTTATTTTATTCAAAAAAATAAATACTGTAAGAGCAGTACACTAAGATTCAATTTGAAATGAATTTAGATTCAGATAAATCAAGTGCAAACTGAAGAAAAACATGACATATTAAGGACATTGAACCGAATAACTTATTTTCTGATATGAGGCTGAAGCCTTTTTATTGTTTGGTGGCTGCTCCAGATTTTTTTGATGAATTTGATGATGAAGCTCAAAAAGTTACAGATTCTTATAGCAGGTGCATCCCGTTTGAAACGCAGTTTAAGGTGACAGTCAGTTTGGAACAGCTCCTGTATCGGTCACGGGACTTTCTTGTAGCGACACGCACACAGACACGGGGTTTGCTCTATGAGCTCGACCCCCGCATTTAAGGACCCATCACTGAGATGCCTCAATGAGCTTTTTGTGGACTGTTTCCATCCTGCTGTCATTAATGCTTTACAACTAACCTTTAATTATCCCCCCTACTACCATTCCCACTGGCCGAAAAACCTGTTCAAACCTGGGTACGATCGGCTTTTCATAGCGGTGGGAACAGCTAACTGACGCCTGTCTACTCAGGTCAAATGATTCAGCAGGCGACCTGCGTTATAATTGGCTCCTCTCTAATCGGCATGCTTTGGAACGCCAGACCTGGGTTGACCCGCTAAGTTATGTGACACCATTGAACGCAACGTATGAGCGTCAACACAACGCGCCAGCCGCTTCTGATAAAACAAGCCGAAAAAAACTCTGTTTACATTTGTTAAACATGGTGCAGCACTTGTGAGAGGGAATCTGCCAGATAAAAGAGTGAGACTGTCTACACTCTGGCTCCTGTCCATGTTGCTCTCCATTTTTTACTTCCCTGATTTCTGAGTCACTGTTGACATAATCAGCACTTGCTCATCCAGCATGATGCCATCATCAGACAGAGGTGGGGGACAGTGGCCACGCAGCTTTCCGCTTTTCAGTCAAAATGGGAAAAGAGCCAAAAGCTGATTGTTAACGGCTCAACCCGGTTTTAAAAAAAAGCCAGGTTATAAGTGTGAAAGTGGCTTAAAACTCATGAGATAAGATATATAAAGAACCTAAAACATATTAATTGTTGCCTTCCTGCAAGAGCTGTTGTTAGTAGTTGATGTTAGGAGCAGAGGTGACATCACTCCATATAATTAAACATAACTGTGACTTGCTCAGAGCATCTTGTGTTGGTGTTGGATACAAGCAGCTTCTGTGTGTTTTTCCTCAGTTTTGTTTTTAACTTCCTGTCTACATACTCTGAGTTTCATTTGTGGATCCCCTCCAGGCTCCAGTCTTTATCTCGTTCTTCATCGCTCTGAGGAAGATGGCGTATCTGCCGGTGCCCAGCTTACAGACAGGAGGTTTATTCTGGTTCACCGACCTGAGTGCAGCAGATCCTTTTTATATCCTCCCTCTTGCAGTCACTGGGACGATGTTCTTCATCCTGGAGGTTAGATGACCTTAATGTCTCCTCTGAATCATTATTATTCATCTCATAACAGAATCAGAGCAGCAGCTTTCTTTAAACTCATCACACTGATTTGAACTTTTCAGCTTGGTGCCGAGTCTGGTATCGACAACCCAAATCTGCGAGCCATGAAGACAGTTTTCAGAATCATGCCTTTCATCATCCTCCCTCTCACCATCAATTTCCCCACGGTTAGTGTGGTTTTAACCCAGAACTTGAACCTGCGACATTATAATGTCATAAAGCTCTGTTGCTTACAGTCTGTGATGGAACCATGTGTCCCCAGGCGGTGTTCACCTACTGGCTGACCTCCAACTGCTTCTCTCTGGGTCAAGTGGCTTTGCTAAGGCATCCTGCAGTCAGACAGAAGTTTAAGATCCCAGAGAGGATCAAACACCCGGCCACAGCGCTGCCTCAGAATGAGGGACTCATTGAGAGCATGAAGAAAGGTCGGTGAGATAGAACCAAAATGTTTTCAAAAGCTTTATGACTAGTCAGAAGTGTTAGTAAAGTGTTAATGTTTGATTTGTGTGTTAACTGGTTTCCAGGATGGAAGAACGCCCAGCTGGCTCACCAACTGGAAGAGAGGGAGAGAAGAATAAAGAATCATCTGGACCTCGCCGCTAAAGGTCTGACCCCCATAATATGGTCCTTTAATTAGCTTACTGTTGGCGATTAAATGAGTGAAACATTAGAGCTGGATCAGAAAGATGAAAGACTTGCTTGTTTATCTACTTATTTCTTTCCTCTTTGTCTAACCATTTAAATCCCACTAAGATCCAACGTCTCTTTGGCCACAAACACTTCAATCGTACAGTAAAAGACAGCAAAATATAGCCCTCTTTATATGTTTCATAAATCCAAATATTTTTAACCCAATAGAAAAGAGAGAATAATTGCAAGATGTCTAACTATGTTTTAATCTTTTACAATTAGAAACCTTGACCCCAAAATTGGGGTACAACCATCTCACCGCAATGGCAATAAATTAAATTGTCTTTTATATGATTCAATCTTTTTTAATTTTAACTAAATGGCCGTCTAAAATTCAAAAATGATCTATATTTAAGTGATCGGCAGGGTTAGGGTTTAACTTCTGAAAGATATTTTATAGATTGTTCTTGTTTGTAAAATCCAAACCTGTTAAAACCACATCAGCAGTATTGCCCATTAAGTGTGAGAGCTCCCTCTGGTGGTCAATTTGGCCTCCTGCATGTCCTTTTCACATGAAAAATAATATTGAAGCCACAGAAGGGATCTACTAATCTTCGCCTACCTGCAACAGTAGTTTGGCAGTTTAAAAGTTTTGTGGGGATTTGCTCGATGACAAGAACCATCACACACAGTTGTTTATCATTCTGATGGAGGCTAGGTGAATGTTTTTCTAATGCAGGGTGCTTCCAGTGAAACTTAAGAGTGTGAGAGGTTAAATTTAGTCCATGCGTCTCTTTTTGTAAGTTACACTAATAGGTTGACCTTAAGTAAGAAACGCCTTAAGAAACAAGAAATCATTTTGGAACAAAGTCTGATTCTTTATTTATTAGGTCCTAATGAAAACTTTGTGTTGTTGTCTCATCTTTATTAATATATTATTACCAGCGAGGGGTAAAAAAAAAAGGAAAACAAAACACAGAATTTAAATTGCAACCCTGGCCCTTTTTAAAATTTAACTTTTAAAGCAGTAATAAACAATAATTTATTATTTTTAGAAAGAGAAAAACAAAATGCAATGTGAAGAAGTAAATGTATTTTTAGACATGTCTACACAATCTGTGTTCGCCCAGCATGTATCTCCCAATGAGTAGCTGAGGGCAGAGTAGCATAGGAGCAAATTGGAGGAGAGAGTGTCTTGTGGATTGAAACCTTCACCTGAAGACAATCATTTACCAAAATGAAGATGCTCACATCATTATAAAGTTGTGAATTCTTCACTAGACGTGTTCCTCGTAGTAAAGAAAATAGGGATGTAGACCAAAACAAGATGTGTGACAGAACCAACTCCTATTTAAACCAATATTAAAAATTATATAAATGCCTCTCGATATTTAGAGGTATTTGTCTAGTAAAAAGACACTGCCTGTCAGCATTGCTTAGCATAGCCATGAAAGATTGAGAAGTTTGATCCTTTTTTCTGCTTTCATCTTTTAGAATGCTGTGAATTTCTGGATCGGAGCTGTTAAAACTATACAATATTTAATCTGACGTTTTTTATATCTATATTCAGGTGTGGTCTAAAGTGATGCATATTTTCATTGTTTTATTGCTCAGCCCCACAGATTACTGTTTTTAATTCTCCCCAGCAAATGCTATAGTGTATGTTATACTTTAAGTATTTCTAAACTGCTGTTTTTGGTCTTGCAGGTCCACTAAGGCAGACTTTTACCCATAATCCTCTGCAGCAGACACCAAGGAGCACCGCAGCATCAACTAAACAAAAGGAAGCCGGAGTCAAAGAGAAGCCGTGGAAGAACACGATTGGATGAATCCAGTTGGCTTTAAGCTCCTCTGTGTAGAGAACCCGTGTACATATTTATAAACAGGAGAGAAGGGGGGAGGTGCCGGGAGGCCATGTGACTATGTATTCTAAACAAATATAAACAGCTTTAAAAGCATCTCCTTGGTAATAATGTTTGTTATCTAAAATCCAAATCTCAGCTTTTTATTTACAAACCTGAGTCGTTTAAAGGTGTAAAGTCCTTTTATTATAAATAAATCTTTACAGCTGAAGATGATCCAGCTCCAACAGACTTAACAGTCAGCGTTGAAGTCGGACTGCAGTTTTTTTTGTGTAAAAATAGCCCTTTAACAGATCTCACAGCTGACAATAAAAAACATTTGATAAACGCTTTAAAACATGTGAAGGCCTGTGAAACGCTTGAATCTATTTATTGCCTTTCTGTGTGCAAATAACAAGGCTGTGTGGTCAGCAGTGCTTCAGTTTCAAATATGCCCACTTAAACAAATTCATCAATAATTTATAGCCTGGAAGGTAAATCAAACTTCCCTGTTATTTTGCACAAAATACTTGGTACGATTAAATGTTTCTTGACTGAGATGTTCGGTCGCATGAAGACCTCTGGAGTGCATTTTAATGTTGTCCCTGAAAATGCCTCTGCCACCGTGAGAAAAGTCCCAATCACTTGGAGATGACTGATGGACCAGAGAGCTGCGTCCAGCTGGGGCCCAGATGTTTCTCCTCCAGGCCTTTTAGCAGCAGCTGGTGGACCAGAGTTCAGACTCTGTCTTCAGTCTCTGTCTCTAGCATCCGTCTCTACTCTGATTTGTCGTCCATCTCCGTCAGAACAGAGTAGCACACTTTCTGAATCAGGATGCCACATTTAGCTGAAAGAGGAACAATATATGGGATTCAGTTTACATTAATAATAAACCCAACATTTAGTCTTCAATGGCTATGTTTAGTTTATAAACAAATACAATTATTTTATATGGGTGTGATTAACTCAAATGTCTATAACAGGATAATAAGCTAATTAGATTATTCTACCAAATACTGAACAGAGAACTATTTGATATAGAAATTTCCCAGATCTACACATGAGAAAATGGCACAAAGAAAAACAGCAAAGCATGGTGATGGTGGCATCATGCCGTGGGTATTATTTCCCACAGCAGGGACAGATGGAAAAATTGAGGAAGGTTTAGTAGAGGCTGCAAAAAATGTGGAAAATTTTTCTTTTTTTATTTAGATTTTCTATTGCCAGACCATAAACATTGAGATGTTCAATTTCAGGGTACAGTTTTTTTTTCAAGACCTTGAAAGCTTGCTTGTTCAGAATCTTTACAGTAACTCCATGTGAAAATGTGCTACCCTGGATTTGCCCTAGCTTCAACTCTCTTTTCCTTCCTGTTTGGCAACAAACCCAGTTTAAGCACATTACCATAACCTAAAGGACTAGAGTGAGAAATTTAATGTGGCTATGCAGTTTTAAAATTGCATTTAGTTAAGTTGCAATTATATTGCAAATACATTTAATTGGTCAGTCCTGCTTTTTAGCAGCACAATGTCCCTAATAATAGAGCCTGAATGGGTAAAATAAGGCAGTTTATACCCAGACAGCCAAGTGCTAGGATCCACTCAAAGTTAAAATTTAAATCCTGTCAGATTTAGTGGTAAAATTGAAAAGCTGCTGTCTAGAAATCCATCAAGTTATTAGCTGTTGCAAATGTATGGAAAGAAGATTCTTCAAAGAACTGAATCAGAAAGGTTGAACAAATACAGGATTCCCTTTCTGTTAACGCTTCAATAAAGCTATATTTCTAAAGCAAAGTAGGGATTTTTAACAGACTACCCAAGATGATACCATCCTTAAGTTCCTATAATTTTTCCATTTCTGATTGAGTGTGGTAGGCTAGTGGTTAGGGCATAGAGGTTGGAATCCTGAGGTTCTGAGTTCTGCTCCCGAAGGGGATGCAAGGGTAAATTTCTCCAATGTGAGATCAATAAAGTTTAATTATTATTTATTGGAGTGAATCCTGTGTCCGGCTTACCAATAAAGCTGCGCAGCCACAGCGGCCTCTTACTGGCCGGCGTGTAGCAGCAGAGGAAATAAACGGGCACTCCTGACAAGGCGATGCCGATCCCGATCAGGGAGTTGATGGTATCGCTGTAAAGGGGGACTACCACCAGGAAGACGGTAAGGAGGCAGAAAATGATGGGGTAGAACAAACTGAGCTGTAGGAAGGATGGCAGAGAGGGACATAGTTAGACGAAGAACTGAATCTGAACATTGAAACTACCTTCAGAAACTCAACTACCTTCAGTGGTCTCTCTCTATCGGGCTGCTTCCAGCGAAGATAAAGCTGCCCTAAAATAGATAAGCCGACGAAGAACCAGTAGCTGAAGCTGTAATAGTTGATGAGCCGGAAGACGTCCTCCACGCACAGGTAAATAAGAGCCATAAAGCCCTACGGAAAAGAAGAAGGAACCTTTATGAGATAAATAAGGTTGGTGCTAAATGTAAGTTGAGGAAAGAAGATGTGAAGGCTGACTGACGTTGAAGAGGAGGGCAGGGATGGGAGTGTAGCGGTGGACATGGATCATGCACAAGAAGTCAGGCAGGTGGCCCTCTCTGGAGCCCACGAAGAACAACCTTTACATAAACAGAAAAAGGGTGCGTGTGATTAGGTGTGCTGTATCGAACAGTGAGGTTTTTATTGCTTCCTGAAGTCTGAATCCCTCACCTGGAGGCCGCCACGATGGAGGCGTTCAGTCCACCAAAGCAGGAAAGGGCCACAGCCAAGGGGATGGTCCAGTTCATCACACCAAACACCTTATCTGCAAAAGTCTGTAGAGAAACCACAGCGGGTTTGAATCCTGAATCAATCCCTTCATGGAGGTAAAGATCTACTGAAACTCACCACGGCGACGGCATCACTGTCTAAGATGGCGTTGATGGGGAGGATGGTGTAGTAAGCCACGTTGGTCAGGATGTAGATCACTGTCACGATGGGCATGGAGATGGCGATGGCCAGAGGCAGATTCCTGCAGTTTATAGAAACAGGCAGCAGGGGGAAGCAAAGCAGAGGAGATGGACATTAGATTCAGCCCAGTGGGTCAGAGAGGGGGAGAGGGATGACCTGCTGGATACCTAATCTGCCTGGGAACCCTGAGAGAAGGAAGGAAATCTGACTGGTCTTTGTCTGAGTAAAAGTGCAGACATGCTAGTTTGCTGGTAAAAGGTTTATTAATAAAGAACTAAATAAATGCATTTATTTTGGGCCCCTTAAGATGACTCTTTAAACAAAGAAGCAAAACAGGAGGATGGAAATGCAATAAAATATGTTTACATATTTCAAACATTAATGCAAATGCAAAAACCTTGAGAAAAAACTTTTAGCTCTTTGCATATGTGTGTTCAAGTCAGTGTGCATGGCTGACCAAAGGTTTGTTTAGTTCTGACCTGTGGTGCCTTCCTAAGACTGGTCCACACTTCCAGTAAACATGAGAACTCTTTTTTTTCTTGGAAAAGATTAACAGGAAATAGCAGTGATTTGCTTAAAAAAAAGGTCCTGGCCCATAGATGGCACCTGCTGTGCACCTGAGATCTACAATAACTAGGAAAACACAGAGCACCTCCTTATCAACACGACGTCCCCCATCTGATCGCTGCTGCACTTAATTCTGTTTAAATAAAATCCTACCGATTAGCTGCTCTGCTGCCTGATATGATTTTAACCTTCAAGGCAGAGAGCAAATATATAATGCTCATATGGTAAAACCAATACCGGAAGCTGAAGATGGGGATGGGGCAGCTGTTTATGCAAATAAACTTTAGATCAAATGCTGTTTTTTAGGATCAACAATATCAACAAGTCTGATTCAAATTAACTGATTCTGATTCACTGAATGAAAAAGTCTTTCTTTGTTAAAGATATAACAATGTATTGATTTAGTTCAATTTACGAAAGTAAAAGAAGAAAAACGTCTTTTATACAAAAGGATTTTACTCATTTTTTATGTATCTAGAGATTCGGGGTGCACTTATTTCACTATATATTTTCATTTTGATTTGGTAAATAATGAGCTTGGTTTATCATTCTTTTAGAAACTGGGATGTACTTTGTTTTTAGCATGACTGGATTCATAGACATGGACTGAAATAAAGTTAAAATGTTGGGAAAGTTTGTGTGTTAACAGTTTGAGGATTAGAAAATGACTGATTTTAAGGCAACTGAAGCAAAAACTGGAGAGTATTTGAGAAAATGAAAAAGTAAGTAAATAATTAAAGTTTACTTATCAAATAAAGATAATCTGTGCAAGTTATATATAATTTGCTGGAATATTTATGTATTTTGGTTTTGATTTCTGAAAGAAACGCGTACATACATCAAAAATAAAAAGTTTAACCTCCTTTTTTTTGTTTCTGATCCTTTAAAGGCAAAGAATAGGAAAATTATCATGTAATGCTGTATTTTTTATTTTTTATTGTTTGTTTTTTGCAGACTAGTCTGTAGCATCACATATTTCCCCCGTTCCTCAAATTTTAAAGGGTTAAATCGCATAAAATATAAGTATCTTTAAAATCTCTCCAAGGTTTAACTTGAATGCTGTAAGATCACCAAGATTATATATCCTCCATATCACAAATTAATCTTCATTGTAATGTAACAGTTATGCAACATATTGCCAAAAACGTTTGGTTCTATTAAAGTACTTACATACTTTCATGCTCCCTATGCCTGCAGTACATATAGTGACTCTGAAAGCAAATTAACTTGTAAATGTATAAATTAGAAGCAGCAGACATTTGTCAGAAGTAACTTTTTTTAGTAAAATCTCGAGGTGGAAAAATCCTTTTTAATTTTTTTTTTTACAAAATAACTGCATAGGCTAGATATCACCAGAAACAGACAAATATTACCAAGTTTAATATTTTTTTCATTACAGCTTACATAATTTTTAAAACACTGAACACTTGTTTTTCTGATTTGGTGCCGCCCTTCTTATATCATATCAGACCACTAGCTTCACTTCTAATGCGACAGTGGACGTTTAAATCTCCTTGAACGTTCCTGGGCTCATCTGATATTAATATATTTAAAAAAATCTGAATTAAAATAGTTTAAAAGTGATAATTTCACCAGTTAACAATTCATTTTAAACATAAATTTCCTGACTACAATGTGATGATGACCTTAGTGAGAGCTGGTTGGATTTCGCTCTTTTAACTGAGTTATGTATCTGTCTAATAG